GCCAGTGGACCTGATAACAGGACGCCCACTTTACGAAGAGTTGCCTGAAAATGAGCCAGAGTTCGTTAAAGTGTTATCTGAAAGGATGGATGATATTCACCATCAATTGTGTTCAAACTTGAAAACGTCTGCTGATTCCATGAAGCTATGTTATGATAAGAAATCTACCGAAGTCAGCTTTGTACCAGGAAGCAAGGTGTAGTTGTATAATCCCAGGAAGACCAAAGCGAAGTCTCCTAAGTTGTTTTCTCCATGGGAAGGCCCATATGACATAGTGGATCGTCTCTCAGACGTGACTTTCCAAATAAAATGTGGTCGCCGAGGTAAGCCAAAGGTGGTGCATGCCAACAGGCTTTGGTGTTATCACAATCCAGGACATTTCAGTTGGAACGAAAAGAACAATGGAACAAATGATGCTGCTGAAGATGTGTCACCTGAAAAAGCCACTGTCGAAGAAGAAACTCTACCCGGTTTAGAGAAGGGAAATGGTGAAGCTGTTAATGAAGTTACTACCACTGATGTGACTGTTACCGATAATAGGACATTTCCTGATAAAGCAGATGAACCTCACGTGAAGCAGAAGCCAACGAGACAGAGGCCAGTGCGGAGGAAGATACATCCTATAAAATTAGGAGACTTTGTTGTATTTTAATTTTATGTTTGTAAATTCTGTACATTTAATCAAGTTATTGTTAATTACCTATTGGGTTAATGTAAGTGGGTATTGTTCAGGACGAACAATACTAAGGAAGGGGCAGTGTTACGGAAGTCACGTGACGCTGGTAACACGTCATGAATTTCTAGAAGGATCATGACTTTTCCTGGCAACTCTAGTCTTTTCCAGGCGCCCTCTATTTTAGTATATAAGCCCGGCAAATAATGGCAGATAGACAGATAATTGAGTCAAGCAAGTGGTAGTGACTGTAACTAAAGTGCGTGAATCGTTGTGAATTATAGCGTATGTTTAAGTTAAAGTGACTGTGGAAATTCTGTGTATTGCAAAGTTGTATTGAAAAAGAATAAACTTTTGTTTTATTTAAGAATGGGCTCGTATCACTGAAGTTCCTTGGGAAGAATTTATACCGGAAATTAACAAATGACCAGAGAGGTAACATTATCTCCTGAGCACTACCATGGACATATATATATATATATACTATTATGGATATATATATATATGTTTTCTTCCTGAGCACTATCATAGATATATATATATATATATATATGTTACCTTCTTGAGCATTGCCATGGAAGCTTCGAATTTTGTACCATCATGAAAAATAACTTTTCCTTCAAGTTTTCTAAAGTATACCAATTCAACTTTGAGATATGTATATCTTATGGAATATTTGTGTTTTTATTATTTATCTAAAAATAATAATCCAGACACTGGGAAAATTGTTTGTCTATAAACGTGACAGTGAAATAGTTAGAATAATTTTAAATTAATACTTTTTTGTGTGTTATCTTTGTTTAATTAAACTCGTATATGGAGAAAATAAACTGTTACCTTGACAGCTCTGGTCCATTGACTCATAACCAGCCTTACATTTACAGCCACCAGAGGGAAGAGTCCACTTTCCGTCTCCTTTGCACAGAAGCTTAGGCGAGTCCACCATTTCAGCGTTAGCCACACATTGACCATCAACTTTTATGATTTCTGTAATCTCTCGTCCTGTAGGGCTGTCTAAAAAAGAAGCTAAATTTAGTGTAATATTTGGACAAATCATATAGTACACTTTAATGGCGATCAACGACAAGCATGCCCCTTGATCGCGGAAGGCAAAATAGACCCCTTTCTTTGTGATTGGAATACTGCGGATTTCAGTGTTAATGATGACTTCATTTGTAGAAGTGAAACGACCTTCATCCGCTGCAATACGGTCCACCAGCTTGTAGGACTCGGGTTCCCATGGAGGAGGCTCTTTGGTCGCTGCATCAAACTCGTAGTACAGAAGGGAGAATGTCTCTTTGCAGGAAAGTGCCATCCCAGGGAAAAGACTGCAATCCCGCATACTGAACTTAATCTCAATATATATTCTGCTGGCGTCCCTCCGCTCAATGAATGGCGTCCACAGCCAATTGTTAACATTACTGTAGGCTACGTCACAAACCACGAACGATCTCCAGTTAATGCCTTGCTCAAAGTTGGTGAAACTTTCTTCTACCCACTAAAAGAAAGAAAAATTGTAAACTTACTGCATACCCCAAAGCTCTAAGCCATATCTAGTCATCTAAATCCAATTTTCGTAATATATAATTTGATAATTACCAAATATCTAACTTCAATTACAAAATGAAATCCCTCAAAAATTATAATTTGAATCACGCACACATCCACTATACACAGATATGGTTATTGCGATAATTCTGCATTTATATTATTGTAGGTGTAAAGGCAACATTCTAACACTGAATATACTAATATAATCAATAGATGTCAGAACTAAGTTTGAAACCCTTGTAGTCAAATCAGCTGTAGCTTAATTTGAGATGGAGCATTTAGAGATCGTTTTAGGTATGTCATAATCCTGCTGGAAAGCTTTACTTGGTAATACTATTAGATAGACTTACAACAGACAAGGGTACATGATATAATTATTTACAGTTATAGCACGTGATGTCCCTGTGGTCAATCTCTGAATTTCGGAGCTGTCGAGCCGGCTTCGAATCCATGCAAAACCACAAAATATTTCCTGCACTTGAAATTGTGGATGCGTATTAAGGGTGAAATCAATCCCCTGATGTGGATGATAGGTGTTAGGGAGCTGTTGACTGGTTTCTTTCTCTCTGGTTAGTAGTTCAATAATATTCAAAATTAAGGATGTCAGCAAATGGCATTAATAGCTTTCCCATAAATACAAGACAGAAATACAGTTCTTTACAAGCACTTATCACAATTTGAAGAATGATTTTTGTCTAGATATATTAAGACAATTTTGAAAGATAAAGTTTCGGTTACTTTTAAAATCAAATGAAAAAAAGGCCAGTTTCAGTTTCTCAACAAATGAATTTCTACATATTAAGAATATTGAACAACACTGTAATGTGTTTATCGTAATAAGAAATTTCAAGGTTAAAAATAATCGGTGTATTGTCTTTTTATTTTATATCACACTTGTATTATATTTTATTGAATCCAAAATAACACAATATGATAAAATGAGAGACTCGACTTCAGTACGGAACGCTATGTGGTATTGTACAAATATTTGTTTTTGTTTGTGTGTTTAAGCGCAAAGGGTTATCTGCTCTGTGCTCACCGCAGGTATTAAACCCCAATCTTCAAGCTTATCGTTGAGGGCTGTCATGGAAAAGAGGAAATACACACCCGACGAATTCGGTGTTGATAAAGAAACAAGTGATTGCATCATATCACAATACTAGTGTATATAGTAAAAACTATTGATAATTAAACAGAATAATTAATGCACGTGAAGTTTGTGCTCAGCACATTAGATACACTTTAGTATACATAGAGTGTATAAAAGTGGCTCTTCGTGAAACGTTTCGGAAGAATATGGTATAATGTATTGTTCTATAATAAGTACACATCTTCATTTCTAACCATTCACTCTTTAACTGGATATGACATAAAACTGGTGTACCTCCTCTTTGAACATTTCCTAATACATTGCCATATAACAAGATACCACGCACAGCTGCCAAACAAGAACACGTTATGGATCGTTAACAATTCTAGGTATAAATTAGTAGCTACGTACGACACATTATGGATCGTTAACAATTCTAGGTATTTAATACAAATTAATAGCTACGTACGACACGTTATGGATCGTTAACAATTCTAGGTATTTAATACAAATTAATAGCTACGTACGACACGTTATGGATCGTTAACAATTCTAGGTATTTAATACAAATTAATAGCTACGTACGACACGTTATGGATCGTTAACAATTCTAGGTATTTAGTAAAATTAATAGCTACGCACGACACGTTATGGATCGTTAACAATTCTAGGTATAAATTAGTAGCTACGTACGACACATTATGGATCGTAAAAAATTCTTGACATTTGTTAAAGGTATATATAATTCATATCATATCACGTTTAACTAACTATAGATTATCTGCATAACTATGCCACTGCAGAATTAATATAAATCATGGCATAACACTTTACACTAAGTATAAACTATTTATTTAAGCGTAATATTGCGCAATGTGCTATTTGGGTTGCGTCCACCGCAGGGATCGAGTCCCAAAATGTAACATTTTAAGGTCTCGGGTAACGTTGAGACATGGGGGAGGGAGAATAAACTATCTACATATGCTTCTGGAGGCGGGTGGGTAAGTAGAACACATGCAGTATGAAACACATTGGAATGTGCAGCTGCTATCTACAAATGTGACTACAGATACAGACACAAAACTGTTGTTCAAATACTTCCCAGTGCTCAGCGGTAAGCTTCAGAATTTACACGCTAAAAATCGGGTGTCGATACTCGTGGTGAGCAGGGTGCAGATACACCATTGTGTAGCTTTACCCTTGAACATAAACAAACTTATTACAATACTTTTTGTGATTATTAGTTAAGACTGAAAATACACTAATGGTGTGAACTCAACTACCACAGCTGACATAATGGTGTGAACTCAAGTACCACAGCTGACATTGTAAGACAAGCTGCTTAACCTTGGGCAAAGTTGGCTCTTTTATAATCTCATATCTTACCCTTTATTGACCTAAAGTACTCCCGTGAGTAACACTAGAGCTGTTTCAACTACCGGAAGAAATCTAACTTATCTCATATCAATACCTCCTGCTCTAGCTGTTTTATCCTATCAACTTGCCGCGGGTCACGTGACGCTATCCCGAATTGGTTTTGACAGATCTATTAAATAACGAACTTTGTTATTTATCATCAGTGAAAATATAGAGTCCATGAAATAAATGAGTGAAATAGTAATTGAGCCATTAGAAACCAATCGGATAGCCGGTTTACTGATCGATGCGTGTTATCTCTTCTCTTAGTCTTAACAGTTGGACGCCACAAACTTGAATAACTTGTTCTAATATACTGGACAGGAAAACGCTAATAAACCATTTACCTTACGAACTGCCTGAGATTGATATAGATAAAAGATTCATAGCTTCTCAAAGACTGTTACTGATATCTAACAGTAACATTTGTACTAGAAACTAGTACATATAGCAGATGTGAAGGAACTACACAACATAAGCTTGCTAACCGATAAAAGTCATCATTATATGAAGCAATAAAACGCCTAGTATGAGAGTGATATATAATGTAACCATCAAACTTCACTCTCGTATGACAAACGACTACACCAGATACGGAGATCCTATACACTGTAACCGTAGAAACTGCCAGTATCAGTAGTGCCCGCAAACGTGACACGAAGAGAGGGCAGTACCTTTTCCAAATCGTCAAAATCTCATGAAAATGAAGATAGGCATGTGTTGTTGAACATATATTCACTAGGAGAGCATATCTCTGGACCATTCCTGATGGCTCCAATAAGGCCACCCTATAAAAGTCTCTGAACCAGATGTGGTAACAAACGAAAGGCCAATATACGTTAGACATGATTGAAATCTATATTGTAGCCACAGAAATAACAAAAATCAGAGTTTATTAGTGCACAAAAGAGGACGGTGTTACGTACCAGTCATACGAAACGACAGTAAGCCTTAATTAAATGTTTGTTTGTAGTTATGCACAAAGCTACACAATGGGCTATCTGTGCTCTGCCCACCACGGGTATTGAAACCCGGTTTCTAGCATGTAAGTCTGCAGACATACCACTGTGCCACTGGGGGCATTTAATTAAGTGAAGGGTATTATATACTATTAAACTACGCAGTACAGCATGCTTCGGGTATTATATACTATTAAACTACGCAGTACAGCATGCTTCGGGTATTATAGACTATTAAACTACGCAGTACAGCATGCTTCGGGTATTATATACTATTAAACTACGCAGTACAGCATGTTTCGGGTATTATATACTATTAAACTACGCAGTACAGCATGCTTCGGGTATTATATACTATTAAACTACGCAGTACAGCATGCTTCGGGTATTATATACTATTAAACTACGCAGTACAGCATGCTTCGGG